TTTAGTAACAAAAAATAATACTGACTCTCCTATTTAGTAACAAATTTCTGGGAGCTTTAGTTTAAGTGTAGAGTGTGGGTGTCAGTTTTGCCAACCTCCCAGCGTTTTGTGAAGCTGAAATGAGGTAATCTATCGAAAAGATGCACTGTACAAGAGTGAAGCAATCTCAAATATAAAGTTGGTTGAAGTTTTTGATTTAGTTTGGGTTATAACACTTATTAGTTTAGTTTGCATATGCCAGTTGAATTTAAACCAAGCATGTTGCCTAACCTCTGATTTGTGTCTGGACCAATCTCCTGCTTTTCATGCTTTTCCAGTGAGGGAAAACTGCTGAAGCGTTTCCATTAGATTCTTTCCTCTGCTAAAACTCTCCAGTGGCTGCACTCCATTGGAGAATGATTGTTTTGCAGTAATGGCAAAATGTGGACACAAGGGAATTATTGTCCAGTGCATTAAATCATAAAAATAACTTATTTTTTCAGGGCTAGAGATGCAGACTTGTGAAATTATTTTGAGTGGTATAGCTACTTAAGTTTTGCAACTAATCATGAGTGTACCAGACCACAAAAAATGCCCAGTTCAGTTTTAGCATTTAAGCTACAGTACAAAGTTGTAGAACAAGTGACTTGGGAGTTAGACTGTCTAAGTTCAGATGCTTGGGCAAGTTGCTTCATTTCTGAAGACCATTTTCCTCTTCTAACACTTGGAATAATATTGGTCAACTCATAGACCTGTTATGGAGATTAAATAAGAATTTCTGACAAGTGCTTATTAAATGTGTATTGGTGGTGTTGGTGTTAATCAGTTAATCCTGATGGTTACTTACTGGCTTCTCAAAATGCTACATATATTGCTGGAAATTTAGAGACTTCTTTTGAGGAAGTAAAATCTTGTCTTCCGTGGTGGAAGTCAACTTGATTCAGTGTTTCCAGAAAAAGCAGTGACCAGTGTCTGTTTTTCTTGGTCATGCTTTTGCTCGTGACTGGCAAAACTTTATAATTTTGAATGAGCTTGGATTTAAACATGAGATTCTGAAACATCATTGTAGAGCTTAGAAGTTCAAAGGAGATGCAAATCTTGCTGAAAAAAGTAAAGAGAATTTCAGAACCTGAACGATTTTATTGATATTACATTTGCCTGTAAGCCTCAAAACTAGGTCTTCTCCCATCTCCAACTGTTTAGGTAAAGGTTTTTAAAACGTTTGTTTTTGTATTTTTAAGAACTGGGTTCTAAAAAAACATGTTTTTAATGTAGGTCACTTTGCATTTCCACATAGGAATTTTAGAAAGTCATTGAAAAACACAAAGTTTGGAATCTTTTAAAGTGAGAATAATGAATTTTTTTTAGGGTTAGGAATTAGTTTTAAGAGTGTTAGATTATTTTAAAAACAATGGGGAGGATTTTCATAGAAGTAGCAGAAAATACGGCAATTGGGATCTTTCTAATATTTTTAGAGGAATAACATTCTTTTACATTACCATCTGT